CGTGCATTAGATTACATTCTTTGCTCTGTGAATACTCAATTGCGAATCTCCTCGAGACGCACAGCTAAAGTTCAACGATCTCTTGGATCCCTATTATCCGCCGCAGAAGATTAGATACGAAGTACAGGATATACTGTTACTGTAACCAGCTCGAGGAACATGGTTAACTCCAACACAATCAGAAAACAATCAAGCTACACGAATTTTATAAAAATTGTAATGGAAAATGTTATTACGTTATAATTTCTTCATTACTATTATAATTAAATAATTATAATTAAATAATGAATTATTCATAACACCAATAAAAAGAAAATCCTTCTCTAAATTCCTTTGATTTTCTCTCATAATTATCTTTTAGAAAAATTAATCTTATATTAATTGGTAGATAGTTCATAACTTAAGCAAGATTTTATGCCAAAGATATATCGGGAATCATTACTCATAGAAAATGTGTTATAAGATATATTATCGCTGCAGCCGTATGCAGAAACTATCGCGCATCGTGTCACTTTATCAAACAGCAACCACCTGTGCATCAACACGCATCGCCGGAAGGGAGAGGAGGGGGATTATAAATCTAAACGGCCGCACAGATCAGGAGATCTTTCGAAACGCGTTAGAAAAAATTGAAAATGTGACCGCGGAATATCACCGTGCCATTGTCCTGCCTTCTATGTGTCGCATTCCACAGTTGCAGCCGCAACTGAACGCATTCAAACACGCAATCGCGCTGAGCTCGCAACTCGGCGCTGAAGATTTATCTCTGTTTCGACGAAGCACCAGTCATATCCTCATTACTTTCTACGAAAGCATAAAAGTCCGGTCGGGGATTGTTTATTAGCGCGCCATTGTTCTCCAAATAGTCGTTCGCTTGCAACTGGCTCGCTACAACCAGGTGCATTGCCCTTCCTGCGTCGTCGTCGATGATTACTCAACAACCGCGGGTCCATGATCGCCGGCTGGCCGGCCGGTCTACAAAGGGCGCGCATTGAAGGCTCGATTGCGATCCAAGGTCACACGAGGAAGAACCGTGAGTAATCCAGCCGGCATGGTCAATGACACGTTATGCAACGCGACTGTAATGACGCCGCCGACATCGAATCGCTTACTCGACGATTCGTCCTCTTCCTTGTTCTTCGCGAGGATGTATTCGCCCCCGCGAAACACGAAGTATTACACGAAATGAGCATCTCGACATCGACCGGAAACTCCTTATAATACGAAATATGCCATAACATGCAAGAATAGAATCTTTTTGAGACAATGACGTAATAATTTATTAAAATGTTTATATCCTTTCGAAATTTAATTGTGTGTCTTCCTGGTTTTAGATATGTAATATTGTTTTGAAAATAACTTTGGAAGACCAAAGATGTTAAATTTTAGAAAATTAATAATTCTTACCAATTCAAAACTCACTTTTTAATATCACGATAAAAATTATTATCTTCCATAATACATACAATTTACATTAATGAAAATAATTCCGAAAGTAAACAGTAAAAAAAAAAGCGAATCACACATGAAAAAATGTTTGTACTTCGAGAGATAATACCGGGGACACAATGAAAAAAAACCACCCTGCTTTTTAGAGACGCGCAACTCCGTGTGTATAGTGCTTTTAGATTTGTCCCCGCGATGAGACACGAGTTTTTTTACCCTCAAAAATCCGGCGTATCGACTGGCAACGGTGCTGAGAATTCCACACGTGCTCCATTCTACACTCGAGAAGGAGAGTCCTCGACAGAGACGAATGGGAGAAAATGAGAAGAGGAAAAAAGTGAAACGGTAACATTCGCGACGTGCCGGAGGTGAATTTATACTATAGACACAGCATCGGCTAAGAAGATTCATCAAATTGCGATAACACTTTCAACAAATTATCTCATACGAATCAACTTAATGTCGTGAAAAATTTCTAGCGTTGTTTTCGACGGATATTAATTTAATATCCGATTATGAGAACCCGTAAAAGAATACAGAATTTAATCTCCCATTTTACCTGCTTCATACGAAAAGAATTATAAATGTTATTATCTGATGTCTTTCTGACAAGGCTTCATACTTTATACATGTACGCGATATTAATGCTTGGAAGATCCATTAAGATTATTAATATATAGATATGTGTTTTAATCAAGTAAAATTTTACAGTTCTGACAATGAGATATTCAGTGCCAGACTCTCTTTTTGGACGTCAAATTTAAATATTTCTAGAAGTCAAAGTACTAATTGATTGCCACATACGTTTTTTCTATAATATATGTTTATATTTTTCTAAAAACATATTGAAAAACATTCGTAGCACACAAATCACGTTACGTGTTAACAAATTTACTACTACTATATCTTTATCATCATCATCATCATTATTTAGATTCGCTTAGTATCTCCAAATTCATGCTCGTTCAAAGCGACGTGTTCTTCCTCGCTGTGAGCATCACTTGAGAGAAATGTGACTTTAATCGCGCCACGGCTAAATGTTTTATTCCACTGGCAAGTGGATGCGGCCGCGTCGGTGAATAGGCGACGACTGACAGTGACAGATTCGCTCCCGGCTCTAAGCAGCTTATAGAGTTCCCGGTTCCGTACAGTTCCATCATTATCGAGTGCCCTTAATTGCTAACACCGGTGTTCCTGTGTCAGTGGCGAGCGAGCGGAGGTAGCGAGCGCGTTTGAACTTGAAACTGTACGGCCCTGAGACGCAAATCATGCTCGTCTTGAAGAAGCCTTAAGCAGCTGTTACGTCTCGCTTGTATAGCAACGTGATTCAATTTGCGTCGTTTCGCCATTGAGCAGTGACGTAACCAAATAAAAGTAAATAAAATAAAATATTTCGAACACAGCAAGCTAACACATACCAAGCGAAGGATAAATTTTAGAATGAGATACGTAATATAAATAGAAAATAGAAGTATTTTGTTTCAAAATTAACGATAGAAAAAATAATAAAATCAGCTGTTATCTTAGGCTAATCCAATAATTTTTTAATAGTTATTAAAAAATTTAAAGCAAAAATGTCGATACACAAAAATGTATGTTCATTAAAAGCATAGAAGCTACCGCGATCATGAATATTCGTTTTGTGTTGAAAGTATTACGATGTTGCCAACAAGGAAAACAGATTTTCAAATCCACACATCGAGAAAAATGTACAAACACGCGTAACTAGAAAAAAAAGCTACGTACACCCTGAACAACTTCACCTGATGCTGTTTGCGCAGCTGTAACGTTTCGAGTACCTTTCATCGTTTGAAACTCTTCAAACAACTCCGACCTTTTCTATTAATAAAAGTGCTGTGGTAACTCTCGTACATCAAACGCACCGGATATAGATGCACTTCGGATGTAACGCCTTGAAAACGCTGATTTATCCTCACATAATTAAGAAACCGACATTTCATCACATTTCTTAATTATTGCACAAAAGATTAAAAATTGAGTACAACATTATTTTGTAGAAAACTATATTAATTGTATTACTAAATAAAATATTTTTAGCACGTGTCTTACAGCATAAATAAATGTTATCCCATGTGGTAGGAGAGTTTCATTGCTTTATTATAGTAAATTTTCGTGCTGAAATTTATAGCGCAGGTATATCACGCAGAACTTCATTTAACTTTCTTAATTGGCCATCATCTTACTTCTTCGAGCAGCGAGAAGTTGGATCATTAACGCAGAAACGAAAGCAAACCGGGCGTATGTTAAAAAGAATTTTGTGTGCACATCAGTAATTCGAGAAGCTGCGCCATATAATCTACAGCGATCGATAACTGGTAATTTGTTGCACTGCGGTGCGCAATATCAGTCATGAAATTATAGCAAATTGGGTAATTTATACATCGAACACTTTAATTTAATCTCCCAAGGCACCGCAGCGGCATTCAAAAATATTAAATCATTAAACGAGGCGAAAATGTCTGAGATAACGTAAAGACCGGTTTGCATCTCTATCAAGATATTAATTTCCATATATAAATTCTACAAGATGATACCATATTTTTAATTTTTGATGTTGAAATATTGCTTATGAGAAATAGAAAAATAATAAATTTAAGTCTTTTTCATTTAAAACTTATTACGATATTTAAAAAGTTTAATATTTAACGCTATAATAATATAAAATTATTTAGTAATTATTTTCGAAATATTCGGGCATATATTTTGGCATTTTCTCTAAAAACTACTGTCTGCGTATTAAGAGATAACTGATATCAGCCATCTTTCATCCCACTGAAAATCGGAGCGAGTCATGTAATTTCCCGGTCGTCGCGGTTGAAAACTTTCTTCTGATCATACTTCCGCGGCGCAGCGAGAAAAGTTGCGTCGTTAACGGAGGCAGGAAAACCGACGATGGAATAAAAAGAGGCCCCGTAGGGCCCACCAGGACCGTGAAGCATTAAAGCGCTATTACAAGGTAGTGCGCGCTCGCTCGCGCGAGAAAGAGAGGACGGAGAGAGAGCAGAAGGAGAGACGCGCTACGCTTATACACGGTGATGCGGCAGAAAACGAGAGAGGACGGGTTCTATTATCCTTGAGAAAAAATCTTCGCCTGCGCGCGGATACCTCTTCTCTCTCGCTAGAAGATGCCTGAATTGGATTCGAGGAGAAGATCCGCAAGGAGCAGCGCCGCAAGAAATCGAACGCCGCGATCGTGAGACCTCGCGGCGCAGGAAGTGAACTGAAACAATTCGTCGATACCGTGATAAAAACTCGCGAGTGAATAATCATTCGTATGTCTAGTATGAAAAATCGCATCGATATTAGATACTATTCAGATATTAGAACTAGGATTTGCGACATTAACGAACAACAAATTTTAATATATTCGCTTAAAAATATGAGAGTTTGATGGATTTTTTTCTATATTAATTTATTATCTGAAATTATCCTTTAATATTTCAATTTTCGGCATAAGTTTTTGACAGCAATTAAACAAATGAAAATTCTAATAAATTTACCTTAAATTAATTAAGAAATTATATAATTCTGAATTTAATTTTTTCTGAAATACTTTTATCTTTGATAAAATATTACAGTTTTAGAGAAAGAGTAGCAAGGTCTGGTTCGTCGGAAGTTCATCGCTTCGTTCGTTCGTGTTTCGCTGCGTTCCTTGAGAAATTCGCGCCTCGATGATTACACGCGCTTCCAGCGATCCGTGGTGAAACAATTACCGGTGATACCGCTCTCTACCAATAAGCGGAAAATGAGAAAAATAATTGCGAGTTCCGCCGGCGCGTGAGAAAAATTAAGTCCTCGCGATCAGGACCACCCAGATTTCACTTTTATCATGTAAATAATGATAGTCCAACTGTGCTAACCGCAAAAATTTCTCATCCGTGACAAATACGGTTGTAAGACCTTACGGTTGTAAGAAATTGTCACGTTTCTGTTGACACAAATGTTACCAATTCATTTAAAAAATGTATAACGAATTTTAGCTTGTATTATACGCGATATCAACTGTATCGACCCTCTTCCATATTCAAACTCTGTTATCTTTATTAGCAAAAAATTGTATTGCTCTGTTTAACAGTTTATCCCCTTATACCTCATTATTTTCACAGCAATATTTGGATCTCTATTTAAATCTTTGTTTAAATCTCTATATAAATTTTATAGTCTCTTATTAAACGTTACATCATACGTATAAAATTTTAGCAAAAGAGTATTCCTTTTTATAGAAGTTTACACAAATATTAATATTATCACATATTTTAATATTGACACAGTTCTAAACAGTATGATAATGACAAAGACGACATTCTGAGATTACAGTGAAGATGATTACGTACAAAAAAAAACGAAAAAATTGGTTAGTCAAGGTAATTGTGGCATGCAGGTGGAAAGCCTCTCGGATGAATAATATGGTGAGTCACGACAGCTGATAGACCTCATAGTTCCTGTGATACGCTATAATGTTCTCAATTGTATAAAAATATAGAAGGCCGCCGTGGTAACCTGTCAAACGTCTTTTTCTGCACACCAGGAAATACTTTCGATTGGCCTGCGGCTTTTAAGAAAAGCGACAGAGGAGAAGCGACTTAACTTCAACATTAATCAATAGCTTAATTATTTGATATCAGTTTCCGTGATAAAAAAAAAATCGATTTAATACTTTGACGGATGATCAATTTTTATCCAATAATACGAATACAAAATGACATGAAATATATTTTCGAATGTTTTATAATTTTACAAGCGGATTATATAATATAACATTAATATCGGTTTACGGGAACGGCAGATGTCAGCGCGCACGATTAGATAAGGAAACTTAAACTCATCGAGTTGTGAATAGGCGGATTTAACGATGCCTTTCATGCTCGAAGGCAAAGGCGACACCGCAAAGATAGCTGTGCCGATCCTTTCCAGAAAGGATTTCCTTTCGCGGATAATTTTCTGTCATTTGCCGGTGCACAATATACTGTTGATGATTGCCGTTGAAACGAGTAATAATTTTTACGTGGAAACCATTCGCGCAACACGTAGCACGTGTCATCAGTGATCGTAAAGATAATACGCGGTGCCATGATAGCCGTCGTGAGAATCTTCAAGAGTGATGCATTCATGATCGAGACACTCGATATACGCCCGCGCCATCCCGATGTTTATTTTCCCGCCGGGCAATAAGCACTCTACCAATTAAACGTCGCGCAGGATACCTGTCGCTCGACGGCATTTACATAGCTGAAATCGCGAGAGCTATCATCGCGCGAACACGCTAGTTAACATAATTTATTGCAAATAAAGAGAGAATAAATCAAAGGCATATCTACATTTTGTTTAATATATCAAAATTCAAATAACGATGGCACGATACAAGACAAAGCGTAAATTCAAACGAATGTAATATGTAGATAATTCTCTGAAATATGAGATTTATTATTTGAGAAATTTTTTATGGAAGAATATTTTTAGAGAAAGTAAGTATATTAACATTTATTTTTATATAAATGTAATAAATGTAATAATTCTATATATAAACTATAGTACTTCATAAAAAATTTAACATTCTGAATAAAATAAAATATAATAACCAAATCAAGTTAGAATTTGCAATAACATCCGTTATGCTTTTTATAAGAATTGAAATAAAAAGTACTTTCTTTCTAGTGTGCTGCTACCATTTTTCATTAAAACATAAACGACGCATTACACGGACTAATGTTCGCTGCGAATCGTCATCTGAGGGGAGCTAATGCTTCTGTGCAACTTTTCCGAGAAGCGTGCTCCAGTTTCCATCATCGTCGGCTTAATGTCGCTATGCAATATCGTGGGGAAACGGAGAGAACGCCGGGCTCTCCGTTTGTCGGTCAGCCTTGAGAATCCCGAGGCGAAGCGCAAGGAGCCCGGTTGCAAATGCGCTTAGAAATGACGCCGGGTACCGAGAACTCGGCCTCTGAGAGCCGAGCAATAAACGTAATGCAAGGATCGCCTGGCGATGCGATACGATGCGATGCAATGCTTTCCGCGCACCGAGGAACGTTTAGCTTCCTCCTGGGATATTCGCGAGAATTCCCGGCCAGATGTACCAAAGAAACGAAAGGTTTCTGCACAACCTGTTTCGCTAACATTGTTCCGCGATCAAAAAAATAAAACAAAATTTTATATAGAAACGTATTTTTCTTTATTTAGTTCTTTTTAGTGTCTTTCAACGCGAGAAAATGATGTAATGAAATTGACCAGTTAAATCAACGTACGTAATTGGACAAGTTAGATTAGCGAATAATTATAGTAAGGTGTTTTCGTTTGACAGGAAAAATAAATGATTTATACACTATTTTGAGCGTTATTAATACGTATCGTGAAATCGTGACTGTAAGATAACAGCATTTGCGCGGCGCTTATAATTGCACGATTTAGAGTATATTTCCATGTAAATATTTTCAAAGGTGTTAAATCGACACTCACTCGAGATACTCTATTATACGGAGCGTATATTTCATTAAGTGTCGGCTGCTTATCGGCGAGTTTCCGAAGGATGCTCGCGTATCGAATTGGGACTAAGTAATAGAGATAGTTACGTGGAGCGCCCGATACCACGGCCTATACAGGCGTGATACAAAGTTCATCGCTCTAGGAGGAGAACAAGTTTCACGACCGAAGTGCGGTAAGGTGCGAATTCCAGCGAGCAGAGCATTTACAACTTATGGTCTTCGACCGTGATACGTCTGAGATTGGCTAGCAAGAGATTCTGCAAAATTCACATAAAGCCGTCCTATATAACTACTTATAAAGATCCCTTCTTTCAGATTGTAATATCTTCAATCTAAAACTAAAATACTTAACTTTTAAGATAGAAACATAGAATTAAAAAAATACGACGCGGAAAATTCGTAAAATAAAAGCCAGTGTCGCATCATGATCCTTTGTTTAAAGGAATATCTCTAAGGTAAAAACAACACACATTAGGCTCAGTAGGTGTACCAAGTACAAGACACTTTCCGCCGCGCTTTTTGAAACCGTGTACCTGCTATGCAAATTTACAGCTGGAAGCTGAATTCTTGGGTAAAATTCAACGATCCCGTGACTGCGTCGTCGCCGTCGTCGTCGTCGTCGTCTCGTGCAGTTGTTAAACGGGAAGTTTATTTAGCCTACGGCGTAGCAACCGTAGTCCACGCTCAGTTGCACACACGTACACGCGCATCGATTACATAGGCGTGCGGTTTGCCTTAATTGCAATCCAATTTGTAATTAACCTCGGTTCATCGGAACATCGAAGTGAAGGCGCGCATCGGCAGCGCGATTCCCCCCGCGATGCAGGCGGGGTGCGTTAATATAGAAATTTTATGCCGCCCTTAGTGTGCATCGGATACATTGTGTATGTACGTGGCACACGGCTCTCTCGTAGGGCCGGCGTAGTGAGTTAAGAATCTATGGCAGTGGCAGAGAAACCACCTCGAGTAAATACGAGTCATGCTCGAAGGGCGCATTCTTCGCAGAGGTTCTCCAGTCGCATCCTTGCGGACGATCTCGAGAATCTCGTCTGCGGTCAGACTCATCTTACTCCCCGTTGAAGATAACATCGACGAGTATATTTGAGATGTCATATCATGACAAGATTTTAGGAAGATATAATGCGGTAGAAATAAAACAATCGCGTTAAAGAATAACATGTTAATTATTTCAAATGAATATTCGAATTTTCGTAAAGATTTTTTATTTTAATGTTAAAAAAGAAACAGTTAAATGAGCAATGCATAATATCTTTGTGATTTAGAATAAAAATTAAGATAATTAAACGCAACCATCCCTATACTTGATTTTGATTGGCAACCGCTACGGCCCTAGAGAGCACCGAGTCTATTTAGAATAAACGCATGCACACATAGACCGAGGAAAATTACTATCTCACAATCCCATCAGAGCTTTTACAGAAAACCAACCACGCTCTCCGGATGCAAGCGTTAATAAAAAAAAATCAGCACGTGCGATTAGGGCATCGAAGACTTCCGCGCTGCACCTCGAAGATAAAGTGTCATCTGAAGACCGAAAGAAGACGACATTCAGTCCACCCTGTATATCAGAGCGGTTTACTTGCTCCTCTTTCAACATCGCCAAGAAGGAAGAAAATGAGGGAGAAGAGAGGAAGAAGGAAGAAGAGAGAAAGGCAGAGAAAGACAGTGCAGAATCGTAACAAGAGTTATACAAGTCCTATGTCGCAATATAAATTTGCGTTCTCATCTCGCGTGACCATATATGCATGCTCGAAATGAATATTAATTCGTAATTATAATAAATAGCTACAGCGGTATGAATCGCATCGTGATATGTTTAAGAATATTGAAAATCAAGATAAATTAAGTCGTTATTAACAAAAATAATTCGTGACACATTGAGAAGAAATTAATTCAATGGCAATATAAAATTCGATGATATCGATCTTGGTTTTTCAGTTGTCAACGGAATTACGATATGAAGATACGAAAGGATGATGCGTATTCGAAGAGAGAAGAGATCGGGGGAGTTTAAAATTCAATTATATCCCGTGGGTATAGAGAACAATCCGTCGGTCTAGCTATCATCGTCCCTACGTTAATCCCGCGCCCTCGGCCACCAAATATCCGATACATCGTTTCGCCCTCATGTTGGACGATGTTCAAATACCCACCTCGTTTCGATATATTTTCGACAGTCGTATTACACGAAATATCGCTAAACTCGCAATTAATTACATCGACGAATTAATTTAATCAGTTAAAAATACCGAAAATCTCTGGCATATAAATATCGAAAGCAAACACCGACTCTAAATTATATTATTTATCAAGTTTACTGTAATTATATTAAAATAGTACGTTATATAATTATATGTATATATCAGTAATGTTAAAAAGAGAGAAAGGGAACTTTAATTATAATAATAATAGTAATTAGATCAGTATAATCACAAAAGTAAACGAAATATCGGTTGCGATTGATGTAAGAGATTATACAACATTTCAAAAGCATTGATAAGAAAGCTAAATTTAAAAACGAGATACCACGAATTCCCTTGAAATAAATTCCACACCAATAGCAATCTATTCGTCTTGTATCGATTCGGCAGGCATCGCGAGGTATCGGTTCGACAGGAAATTTCAATGTGGTCGACGGCGCGAAGGGCGATTCTGCGGCGAGTCGAAACTCCGATACTCCGATATCGCACACGTGCTCTCTCGCGTGTATGCACGTGCGTGCACGTCAATGTCAAGTCGGTCCAACCGGTCCGCGCGCGCAGTGTGCCGAGGTATTATAAGTGGTATACAAACTACGAAGCGTGCACCGCGAGTGCGGAAGGAGAGTTAATAAGTTTGGAGTGACTCGTGCATGCGGAATGTTTGCCGCCTTAATTAGAAAGTGCACGGAGAATTGCGAGTTGCAATTGGGTTGCCTGGCTCGCGACAGGTCCCGCATACCGAATTTTCGAGAGCTGTCATTGCGATTTGACTAGTCGGCAGAATCACGAGTGTGGAAGTTATATCATAATTATAAAGCATGCACGTCGTGTTAGTAAAGTCGTTTGGTAAAAAAAGGAGGAAAGTAATTAAAAAATTGTACTTAATGACGTAAGTAACGTATGACGAATTAAAACTTGAGCATAAGCGTTAATTAACCATAAATTCAGAAAATCAGGTACACGTTGGATATTATTAGTATAATTTCCGATTTAACGCTGAATATCGCATTTAACTGTTTACGGCATGATAATTAATTCGTTGATTATATCGTTAACACATATAGCTAAAATTTAAGCTTCAACTCTACCATTTATTATCGCAGAATTATACTCTCGAAAATCATATTAACTTCAAATAAAAGCTAATGCTCTGTCATAAATTATAATTTAACAATAACAATTATTCTCTACATATAATTGTTATATTAAATATAACAATAATATAATTTTATATATATATATATAAAATTTCAGACAACAATACTAAATTAACAAGTTTTAGAAACAAAAATCGGCTTATTTTTAAGAAAGTTGAAACGAGAATATTCAAGTCATCATAAAATGATATATATAAAATATTCATAAAATATGTAATAATCATAGTGTATAGTTATTCACAGTATTCGGGCAGCAAATATCGGTACTAGTTTCTATCCTTGGTCCTCTTCAACCAAATGTTCCTCTGAGTAATTGTGCATAGCTATATACATTGTGAATACTATATCGTACATATCGAACATCTGTGCTTATTGGTTCATACCGGTCTCAAAATATTCTCGTTTAAACTTTAATAAATTTTATTTCGCGTCAAAAAGCTTCGGTAAACAGGAAATTTCCGACGAGATCGATAGAGGAGGTAAACGCGGTTGACCGTATTTTTCTCTCGGTCAAACGGAAAGAAAATTTTCTAGAGCAGCTCGAAGAGAGAGGAGTCCACCCCTAACGCAAAGGGTGGGATTTGGCCGCGCGTCCCACGGTCGTCATGGTAACCATAGGTCAGGACAGGGATAAGCAATAGTAATGCGTCCTTTTTTCCCCCCCGAGGAGGAACCATCTTTGCCACGAGCGACGAACGATGACGTCGACGATGCCGACAACAATTTATTTCGACCGTTAATCGATTCGCGTCCTGTATTAACTCACTGCGTTAAGTAGACGGCATGACTTTTTGCATCAATTAACAAGCATATAACATTGGAGAGCCGCTCGCGCGACGGATGCAATTTGCTCCCGACGAACGCACCCCGGAAGGACTGAGACGCGATCCAGGTGCTACGATAAAACTGTTTTTTTTTCTCGGCGGATTAAATCGGAAATCGTATGACGAGCGAGTTTAAAAAGGGGGAAAATTGTGGGCAACCGATCGGACCGACTCTTCCTCGGCCTGGTAATCGATAAATCGGCGATCAAGCAAAACGGGAAGGAATTAACATGACGTATAAAGATTGCGAAAATCTAGAATGCATTCTGTCGACTGCCACAATCTCGATTGTTCCGCAAAGAAGTCGAGTATCGGCTAACCGAGAGCTTCTATCTCTTTCCCTCTTTCTCGCTCTCTCAAAGTGGTGATCAATAAGAAAGTTACGCGCTTTTTACCCTTCCACCCTGAAGAAAAGGTTCTAGGAAACTTAACGTTGTTTTTCACTCTTAAAAGTATACGAGAAATAGGCAAGATACATTTTAAATGTTAAAATATCGCACTTTTAATCTCTTAAATAAATTTAAGATTTTACATTTATTCTTTATTTTCATAATTATTTTCATAAAATTATTATGATTATTATGAAAATAAAAATATATCTATAAAGTATTGTACATTTTGTATTATTTTATTCTGAAATATCAACCATACGTAAAAAAAACTGTCAATTTGATTCTAGAGATTTCCACTTACTGATACGTTCGCATGCACATTCATTTCGATATCCCAAACTTTTATCTCGCCAGTTCAATGTTTGCCGTATTCGTTAACGTACAAATATTTTCAGCGCGTCAATGAAATATCGATTGACGAGTTGTATAACAAAATATATTTGCTTCTCCGCCGCTCGATTCTTCGATGAAGAAATCCGTATCGCGAATCTGCGTCGCGACAGACAATGAACGGTGAAGCGTAACGAAGGATGTCGAGATGAAAATCACGTAACGAGGATAAAAAAAAACCGCTTTGAAATTATGCCGGCCCCGTGTAACCTTGCCTTGGCTTTTTTTGCGAACTCTCCTTGCACGTCCGGTAAATATGTATTTCGCCCTTCGACGATCGATTCGCGCTCCAGAAATCGGGCCGCGGATACACATATCGCGTTACGCGAAATTCAGCGTGGAGATAGAGTACGTGCCGTGAGTTCGCGTCGTGCAAATTTATTCTTCGGCTGCCTTTTTATACTTCGCAAACATGTCGAAGAGACGCGTTAAACGAACGTTTGCAGTAGATTATCAAAAGTAAATCTATGTAGTATAACTGAAGTTTTTAAAGCTTCTAATTTGTCAAAATAATTTTTTAAAGATACATTCAGTTTTTAATATTATAAATTTTGAAAAATAGAATTACATATTTACAATTAATATCATTTTGAATATGCTCCAAAATAGTCTTCAAGACTCATTATCGACTTCGAAATCCGAAAATTATCAATGGCACTTGCAAATCGCATACAAGACGAGAATTGCGTTTGTTATCGGCCGCTTAGATCAACCACTCGCAATTCTTCTATTACAAAAACTAATTACATCTCTAGATAGAGAGCAATGTGCTCGCGCACGCGGTTCTATCAGATGGGATTTACACGCGCTTCTTCCTATCCCTCCTCTCCTCCCCCGCTAAGCACACGATCACGGTGAAGGCAGTGCCCGAATCGGCGCCCAGCCCGTCCCTAATTAATCGCGTTCTCAATTAGTGGCCCGAAAGCGCGGCTCGATTATAATAACATGATAATACATGGGCCGTGACGGGGTCATTCAACTCGGCCGACGAGCGACGTCATCCGCCGCGCCGATTTAAAAAGACGGGTTTGTTTGATCTGTGAAAATCTCTCACTTCGAAGGTCAAAGTGCGAAGAGACAGAAAAAATCGTATTAATGTCAATTAAAAGCGCGCTTGAATTGCATCATGAGGACCGCTCGGACACGCTCTCTTATCTCTCGACTCTCTTGTAAATTTTCATGATAAACTTGTCTGGCTTTGCACCGCTTCTATGTCTCGCCGTTACAGTTTCGCGAAACGCGGCGCGAGTCCGAAATCGCATCGTGATGCGAAAAAGTTGAACCAACAAGCCTCTTTCGTCGGCGCAAAATCGGTTGACATTATTCGCGAAAGAACAGACAAGTGAAGTGAACAGACAAAAAATTGAAGTTCTTAAAATATTAATGAATACTCCGCACACATCTTCAAAGATATAAAATTGTGAAAACTTTTTTTATATTTACCTGTTAAATTGGGTTTTATCTCTCGGCGGAAATTTAATTTCCGATACTCTTCACCAATCAAATAAATACTTAGTGCACTGCGATTAATTACTGACGATTTTGTTTCCCCGCTTTACCCGTAAACCATTGCATCACTGAAATTGCATAAAAATGCAATGGTTCGCGTTATTTGTGCACCATGTGCACTTTATTATACTCGACATTGAAAATATTTATAATTTGCGGAAGCGGGAAACAATGGCAACGAGCGAAACATTCGTTAACAATGTCGTTGAGATTTCCAGGTTTCGATAAATTCGAATTTCGAAATGGAACGCCTCTGCGCGAGGCGAAATTATTAATCAATAACTGAGCGTTGCGAACTTAGCCGTTCGATTAATTATTATCAATATTTGATCCGCGCGTATCATCCATTATTGAAATAATTTAATCAAGACATTTCAGTTAAAAAAAATACAAATTTATATTTAATAAATTTCTATTCAAATATTGTACAATATTCCATTTTAATCTTTCGTGTAATTATTGCATTTAAACAAGTCTTGTCAATACAAATATTTTATCACTCGGTTATCACAAGAGGAAGAATATCGCGAAAATGATTATAGAAATTCTACGCATTGATATCTTTGAAACAAAGATAATAAATTAATCAATACGCTCTGATCAGTTACCTTAATAACAATAATGTAATCTTACTTGGAAATCCTGTCGATGTCGGAGTTACAAATCAGCGATTTGCAGACGGATGAAGTCCGCGGATCGGCGCATACCTCGTAGATCATTCAAAACGACGTCCCTCGAATTTTCCACATCACTGGCCGCTGGACACGTCTCGTTGCGAAAAAAAAAACGCCACCGCGCATTTCTCTCGTCGGCGAAGTACGCCTAACGGCGACGCAAACACATCCGCCGGTCACGAGCGCCCGTGACGGAATGCTGGAGGAGAACTCGTGCTCGATCTCTCTCCTGTGCCGGTTCGTTACCCCCACTACGAAGTGGAGGCTTACCCTTGCGCTTTTTTTTTGCAAATCCTGGCAACGTTCCCTCTCTCGATCATCGATTTTCCGTGCTCGTTAATCTGCAAATCGAGAATCAGACGCGTCTTGTGTAGAACACGTGTCGTGCACGCCCCGCGGCGAGATCGAAAGCTGATAGATTGAGGCTGATCCGGAAGTCGCGAGGAGGATGTACGGAGTGCTCCGATTAATCGACGATAAACGCACCTCTAAACATTTATTAATTTGTATAACTGGACGCAAGATAGCGTAAAGGACACGTAATGTGATGCATCGATATTAGAAAATAGCGCTAAAGTGGAGTATTTTTTAATGAAATTTTATAGCTGTAATTAAGATTGAATTTAATAGCGAGCAAAGAGTAACAAACATCCATTACTGAATAATGGATGTTCTACCCAAAAGCAGGATTTCCACTAATGCAGTTGTAATATAAATATCATGTGAACGATCGTTTGGTTTCATTGTTTTACAATAACACGAGAATTGTATTTTAATAAAGTAACAGATAAGTAAATAACGTGTTTACGAGTCCTCGCGATGTATTTGTAATTATCATTTGAGTTTAAGATATTGCGAATGTGAAAGTCAACCGATAATTATTAAATTTCAATTTAATATTATGTATAACTTTTCTCTTTTTTTACTTAAATTACCATTTTTTACTGAAAGCCTAAGATTTTATAGAATATGAGCATATTTGTATAAAATAATGTGTTAATAGTTAAAAGAAAGTAGATAATCGATAATGATAGACGGTGTTAAATCGACGCGCGAATATTTTATATTTATAAGAAAGCGATAATTTATAGGTAATAACCTATGATTATTCCAATATGTCCAACAGCGTTTTTCTCGCGGCGGGAGTGTATTGAGAAATCATTAATCGTACAAAATAAGCTGTAATTTGTAATCGCCAATAATATAATGGAAAAATGATTGCATACGTGACTTTTCATTAAATTCTGCACATATATGTTATTATCGCGTAGATAATTATTCCAATAAATGAAATTGTTATAACAGAAAAATACATTTATTAATTTATCACGCAATAAAATGTGAAAAAGAAAAAATTAAAAATAGAAAACACACGTGTATTATTGATAATTATTTTTCGTTATGCGTTAAGATACGAATTTCTTTTTTAGAAATTGATGTTACATCACATAATAATTACCGCTATGTATAATTAGCTGTAAAGCAATCTCTATCTTTAAAATTACAATTTTATTAGTGAGCAGCTTCACTACGGTGCAAAAGAAGAAACACTTCGTAAAATAACCTCTCTGACAATCTGCACGAGAGCTTATCGTCGCGCCGAGTAAAGCGAAAGCCGTGTAATCCGCAGGGAAACGAATAGCGAATCATATCATACCTGCTTTCGAAACGTCGATCATATTCGCAGGTGAGAGAGAGCCCGTCGTTCGATCCACGATACTGAATAAATCGCGCGGATGTCGCGCGAGCGGGATCCGCCGAATTCGGGAAATTCACGGCGCGCACTCGTTCGTCGGACTGCTCTCTTTCCCGCGCGCGGGCGCACGCACACGCGCGCGACACGTACACATGCACACCCCGCGATCCGCAGTAGTATAGTGGGTGGATACGTTTTCGTTCGGCTGTCGTCGATCGCTAGCCTAGGCAGTCGGCGCGTCGACGCTTTATTACGTCACCCGGAGCGTCGCGACGAGCCAATCCGGAAGCGCGGACCCGCGTGCAACGTCGACGTCCGACGCACGCACACTCGCGACGGACGTTCGTCCGCGTGTGGGTTTAGCGCGCGAGCGCAGCCACAAAATGGCGACACCGCCGGAGCAATGACCAGTGGCGTAGCACCGCCGACGTGCGCCGTGTCTTTGCTCCTTGGCTCGGCGGAATATGGATGCCCAGGTCGGTTCGTGTCTATTTGCGCGATTATTTCGAGCGCGACGTGTCGGTGTGTCAGGTCGTCTGGAAATTAATGTCATTCGCGCGCCGAATTACGCGTTTCCATTACCGCGCCCGCGGTGGACCGCGATTGATTTTTAACGCTAAACTCGACGGTGTACGCTATACAACTTGCATCTTCATTTTCCGTTGTCTAGACTCGTCAGTTTTTGTCCGCAAAGTTATAACGCATTTATGGATCTTTAACGTCCATGGAGATTGTATTTTTGCATCTTCGATATTTATCTTGAGATTATTGCATTGTATGAACGAGACATGAGAACGAAAAGTTTCAAGAAAAATTATAATATAATCTAAGTATACGACGTCGAATCTCTTATTATATTTGCGTATATATATATGTGTTCTATCAACGTATATTTTTATGTATTAAATAACGTCATTTTATAAATAGATTTATTTTCATTGTACTATCAAATCTATAAAGTGTCCCCATCATTTAACGACTATCTTTGTTCTGCAAATAATACGTGTATTTTAAAAAGAGTGAGATAAAAATAATGAGAAAGAAATTATTTTATAAATGGCGTAATTTTTATATTTAATTGCTTATATTAATAATATTATATATACATTAACATTTCCAGCATGCATCTATTTCAATCCTTGATGCAGGATTTATATATATAGCAATTTAAAAGCGAGAAATAGAAATGATTAGCTATTTCTAGAATTAATTTGGTTTATAAAAATCAGAATCTATTTTATTGACAAGTCGATTTTGAAAACTATTTTCATTCGAAGTGATTCTATTTCGAACATCGTCTAATAGTTTCAATTTTTGCGAACAAATATCGAGACGCAATCTATAGAAATGTTAATTGTAAAAATAATACCAGTATAATTACGATATATTTTTGCAAATAAAAATAAAGATGTAGAAAGACAGAAATAAAAAAGAAGCTTATTAATTATGTAATAAAATTAATGTGTTAACCCAAGAATAAATATTAGAATAAAATAGTGAATTGGATTCGAAAATATATTTCTTTTCTTACTAGTTTCAAATTTTTTTATTACGTTTCCACACGTTTGTAAAAACTTTATTTTCGCGAAAATAATTCCTTCCTTCCTTTATTCTATTATCGAAGGAACGTTTTGATTCTCTCAAATATATAATGGGAAAGAATAACATAAACAAAAGGAATTCTCGTTCTTCCAGATAGACAGTACGATTGTTCGCTTTTTCTCGATTCATGTAATTTTTAATTACCCGTCAACTCCACACACACCATTTCGCTTCAATTGATTCTGTACGGATAAAAGAAAAGATGTAAAAAAAAAAGAGAAATGAAAAAAGAATGGAAATTATTAGTTTTTAAATTTATGTTTCAAATAAAGGAATAGTCACTTTTGCCCGAGTTCGCGAATATTATTCTTATACATGATGAAAATATCGATAACATCATTTCTATTCTAAATTTATCTTTTCATTAAAAGGAGGACAAAAGATAGAAAATAAAGATAATTATTTTCTTAACGCGAAAATCTCCAAGTGGTTAATTAATTTAAAGCTAAAAAATATATAACAAAATCTGATCTCTCTTAGCATTTTTGCTAAAGAGAGGTTCTTAAATTGGCTAAAAAAGCTATTGGTAAAGAGACAGATGTTCTTGTATGTACATAATTCTTAGTATAAATTAATAGTTACGAGATTCATAAATTACGATGATTATCGGAATGCGTAACAACGTAAAATCATGTACGTTCGTAATTCGATTCTCATGGGAAGGCGGGTGATAATTTCTGTACGTAAACGTTTCCTCGATATGCTAATTGCCATCGCGATAAGACGATGCGCAACACAGATTAAATAAAACGACGCGCGCGTCCTGCGCGACAAGCGGATAAAGAACGACCGTCGTTTACGATCAGCTGAGATCCGCGACGGGATCATCTGGGAAAGCGGCAGTGGGTCGATTTGCATAGCAGGTTTTAAAGGGCCCTTCGTAGGTGCTGCAGCAAAAGACAAGACCACACCTCCCACCGCGGGACAGATAGGAAATGTCCTGCTGCAGGTAGCTCTCCTGAAAATCGGTAACAAATAATCGATAGTCCCGTCCAGGGACAGACTCTGATCTGACCAATGGGCTCGCCCATCGGGAGGGTAAAGGACGAACCCTCGCGCGGCACCCCCGTCCGATCCCTCGCCCGAATGGATCAGTATGTTGTCCACACGCTACCCCTGGCTACTTTCGGCTCATTGTCAGACTGCCCGATGACTGCTAGGGCAAAATGGCGTGCGGAAATGTCCGTAATGTGTAATCGTGTTTCAATATTTTAATAAAGTTAATATAAACAATTAAATTAAGATTGCTATTAATTTTGTACAAATATTTGTAAACGTTGTTCTTTAGACTGAAATCATATTAAGAAGATTCAGAAATATTTTTCATCTAAACTATAGATCAAAAATATTTATAATATAATTTTCCATTTAAAGAAAAGTAAAATTGAAGTAATAAAATTATATATTTTTATGCATAAATATATTTCATTAAAAAATTATTAAATTTTTAATTTTAAAAATCTATTGCTTACTTTGTTTGCTGCAAAATTATTCTTTTATTTGAAACAACTTTTACATAAATTTTCCGGCGGACGATTGAGATAATCTTACGCGAAATCTCTTGGTTCACGGCTTTACCGGAAGGCATCTGATCGCAACAATTGCGGTCGATTTTCGAGAAACCGTTTCACGACCGCGGGAAGAAGTTTTACGGGCCCGAAGCCGGATAAAAAGAAAGCGAAGCGCCGTTCGCTGGCAGTTACTCGTAATTATTTTCTATACGCTCGACTAGCTTAAAGGCACTATTGTAGGCGCCCGCACGGACCAACGACTTTTTTCTCCTTATTTCCATCTCCTTCCTCTCCTCGTCTTCTTCCTTCAGCTGGTTGCATCTTTGACAACCACAATTTACGATCGACCTAATTTTTTTTCTCTCTTGTATCGTAGCTCTATTCTTGTGACGCACAAATAGCAAATATTACACTAAGCTGTACAATTATATGGAAAATTATTGAGGAAAAGATTATGGATTTTACGACTTTTCACAGACAATTTCTATTCTAAATGCATTCTTGCTGGGAATAATAATTTCGTGCAGTCCGA